ACAGCCATCTCTGGTTGTTTCTTGACTCTGATCTCCTTCCTTTAGCACCAAACGGAATGCCATGATCCTTTGGCGAGCGTTCGGAGAGACAAGGGAGAGAAGATTGTGGGTACATATCAAATTCCCATGATTTAACGCTGAGCGATCGATCTATCTACATACTAGTTTGCATGTCATCTTGCGTCTTGTGCTAGGCTTTTCTCTACGCCAAAAACGCGACGTCTTCATTTGATTCAGGCTCACGGATATCCGAAGGAGTACTTTTTCGCAGTCACGAACAAAGGTATAGGTGGCCTTTTGAGGAAATGGGGTGAGGGAGCGAGTATGATTCGCGGTGAGTGGAAGCCGAGAGAAGTAAGCGAGGATAACGAGGGATCTGGAAACGAAGACGACGACAAGGATGATGTCGACGATCACATCGTCAATGACATTGGACATACCGATCCCAATCCACAAGTGAACCACGGCGTACATATTCGCGAGTACATAAAACCCTCAGAACACACAAATGCGGATGAGATCCTTGATGGACTCGTAGATACCATGGAATCCCTCTCACTGGTACCGCCATCAGTTCGATTTGGACGAGGCGGCAAGAAAGGGGGGTTCATTCCAAATTCTGAACGAGGTGATTTTGGAGATTTTGGTGCCCGCAGCAGTGGCTACCGAGGAAGAGGAAGAGGTGGCAGAGGTAGAGGGCGTGGGCGGTCATATCACCCTTCTACAGAAATGAATGTCAATTCTGCAGTTACTCCGATCTCACAACGTACTGGGAAGGGACATGCTGGAGGCGTTCGTTGTCCAGGAGGAAAGGGTGACATGAATGCCTGACAACGGATGGTCAATTTTTATCTGTAATGAATGTACATAGCGGTATGATATTTCTACTTGGATATCTGTTCCCGGGTGTGCGGCACATTCGTCGGTTTCTTCTGCAACTAGGTCCTTTTGTTACCCCAACTCCACAACTCTCTAATCTTCTACATCCTATTTATGGGATACTGTTTCCTTTCGTTATAGACCAATCCTATAGTTATTAACCCGAAGCAGATAGTGCACGCGTTGTATGATTCATGGTGTTGTTGGCAATGGTGAGTAGATAGATGATGCATTGATGTCCTGTCTCACAACTCCGTTTCATCCAATTCTATCCATTTCAAACGATGATGTGAGTACGAAGATCCAATATTCACCGGTCACCCGCCGAGTAGTCCAATAACCTGTCTTCACCCACATATTAACAGTATGTACATACTTATACTTGTTATTTGACAGACGCAGGTGTGCCGTCCTCCCCACTGATCATAAAAAGGTAATGCTCTTACCTGCTAAGCTCCTATGTCCCAAGAGCTGCCTGGTTGCAATTTGATATCGTTCAAGAAACGATATTGCAATGTCGACACACTCATTGAAGCGCTGCGCTTAGGCTCAGTCTCGAGCTTTTGAGGAACACCACTTTCCATGACAATGGTCGTTTCTTTGATATCCTTGGCATGGCGTTGTCCACTGTAAACAAGTCTTACAACTTAAATTGGCCTATTATGAGGATCTCAGCTTCCTACTCTGCACTGCCATGTGTCGAGAAGTGAAATTTCTCGCCATTTTTTGTATCTCTATCCCCTGGGTGTATCGTTCTCGAACTTTCAAGTGAAGTCTGTTGGTATCAACCTAGTATACCGCATTTTTCGTAGAAGAATCCATATAATACAAGCGGTGTCGGCCCATAACCGGGAGAGAGGCATGTAGCAAAAAACGGGAAGTGAAATTGCTGTCACAACCGAGCGACAGGTTCGCCTGATGCCGAATTGCCGAATCGTCGGAATCATCGAAAGGAGAAGGAAACCAGTACTGTAAGTAGAGCCAACAGCTCCTGCATTGTCACACTCTCTCATGTCGACTGAAAGATATTCATAGCCTCTAGCTTTATGCTTCGTTCTATCCTAAAAATAAAACTAGATCTACGATACTATGTATTTGAGTAAGTCAGATGCAAAACTGGTTGATTTCTTACACCTCGGTAACCACGATTTCATATAGAATAAATATAGGGTCTTCTTCATATACATTATACCTATCCCAATTTTCAAGAACCTGGAAAGATTAACTGCAGCCTTTCAGTAGAAACCCAGTTCTGAAAGGGGGTAGGAGATTTTCCTTTTCAAGTGGCAAGCGCACTAAGGCGCAATAAGGAATTCAATCTTATCTTAAAATGAAATCATTTGAGAGCTTGTCATGCCACGAGTGTTGTTGCCCAAGAGACCTGATCATTGATAAGGTTCTTTTACAGGCGTCGTGTTTCTTGTCATCCTAGGGTAGATAAAAGTATCGGAGCAAAGAATTCAGGTGCTTTCGTTCCTATGAGTATCATACAACATGTTCATGCAATGTGTAGCCAAGGCGTATTAAATTTCAGTGTGTCTGCACCCTTTAGCAGCCCATGTAAACACCATCGTAAGGCCCAACGTGGTCCAAGATGTTTCCGAAGAAGATATTAGAAACATCTCCGACGATGCATCTACCATCTGTATTATCTTGACCTAGTTTCAATCATTATCAGCAAGTGCAACATCAAGCTTGTCGCAAGTATGAATTCACCTGGGCATGCGAGCCATTCACCCGAGTCCTGAATGTGGACTTCACCAGCGGGATGGCGGAAGCCCATTAATCGGCCTGACATAATACGTTCAGTAAGAATAGAATTTCAGCAAGAGTAAGTAGCGAACCTGGAACAATAGCGATAGGGTCTTCCCTGTATGATTTACAGTTTGACACTGTCAGAACACCGAACCTTTGTAAAGTAAAACAGAGAACACTTCACCTGTTATTGATGTGCGTCAAGGGGACATTTGCATCAACGTAATCGGCAAAATCCTTGTTGCCAACCTACAAAATAAAAGAATAGAATCTCGTTCATAAAATTTCCATGGGGCGAGACAAGTAGACATACTCTGGGGAGTCCGTAACCTATCGTCTTGAAGGTGATCCCATCCAGGTGCAGAGGAAGATACACCCCGTCCAATAATGCAAGCGCAGCACCTTGTACTTGTGAGTACACTGAAAAGAACAAGAGTCTGTCCTCCTACCTAGAGAGTGTCCAACAGTAGTCACTTGCGTCGCCCCATGATCAGATATTGCCTGCTTGACGGCAGCAAGGACAGACGCGGCAGTTCTATAGGTAGAGAAAGTCAGATTGGGTCGCCAGAGGGAAAGCGATCAGTTCTTTACTTGGCATGTGCGTCTGCGAATCCCTCGTGAACCTCAACGTAAGAACTCATGTTCGGGAAGAGAGTCGGGTCAAGCTTCGTGAACGATGCACTAATGTCAGTGAGGTCGGATTCTCTGGGAAACGAAGATCTCGATTAATCAAAAATTTTTACGAGAAAGAAAAAGTTCCACTAACAACTTGAACATGTCCGTACCCTGGTGGCCGACAATAACGGAACTCAAAGAGGGTGCGTATCCAACATACCCTATGCAGATGAAAATGTATTAGCGGTGGAACTGTGCTTTCCAGTTGTATACTTACAATATTGGACGCTACCGCCATCACCACCGGTAGCAACGGGGATAAAGTCCGCGTTAGCATCACAGCTCTCTAGAATTCGGCAATTCAGTATGTTTGTACCGCTGAACGAAACTTGGTCACTGACCACCACATGTCCAAGCCAAAGTCGGAGCACAGTAGGCACTTTTCGCAAACCAGGTGTAAGGTTTGAAAGAGGAGATCGTAACAGAGTTAAGCGCGGTGATGCTGTCACGGGTTGCCAGTGGCGAAGCGTGAACGGCCGAGAGTGTGCCGAAGAGGACAGATGAAATGAGTACAGCTCTCATAGTGTTTTCCAAAGGTAGGCTCAAGGTAGGCTTGGGGAATTTTTCATTCGACTTGTCCTCCAATTTATGCGTTTTGCTGCAGACAATTGCAGACATCCGCCTGATCAGGTTCCGGCTCTACAACGTGCCTGAAAATCAAGCGAGCGTGTGGGGTATGTGGGGTAAACCATGCTTCTAAACAACTTGCACAGCATGGCGCACTTATTCAAACGTTGATGCTCCGGAAGGGGTAGAAAATTTAGGTTGAATTTAAAAATAAAAAGATGCCGCAAGTCACAAGGCGTTAACTCCATATCCGCTTTGATCAAACGGGAACTCCGTGGACCCATCATTTTGCGGATCTGGCGTCATATGATGGCCAAACGCATGGTCCTTAAAGCTTGAAGACATGCAGCCGAAGCTCTTATAACCGATGACCCTTGAAATCGATGGGGTTTGCGGTCATTCCACAGACTTGGTTGGCAGGGAAATTGGATACGCGCCAAATACGCGCTACGCGATGGGTCACAAGAGGGAGGGTCATGACGATTACGGAAAATATAGAACTAATCACCGCAACATATCATGCGTAATATTATTGAAAGCGGGCGAGAAATTTACGCGGGCCCTTTTTCACTTTTAGAATTGGTTGCGCGACCATATGGCACGGCCCCCGGTAGACCTCGCCGGTAATTTACACACCAAAAAAGCCTCTTGAGACTCTCGCTACTCACAACAGAGATAGCAACATGTAAACAAGACGTATTTCACTTCAAAGTTTTGCCTATGCATGGGTGTGGATACAAACGATGGATCCTTTCCGATGATTGTGCCTTGCATCTCTGCGAACAGTTACAGAAAAACGTGTTAGACAAAACCACTGTCAATTGCATCGGCCGACTAGCTCAGTTGGTTAGAGCGTCGTGCTAATAACGCGAAGGTCTTGGGTTCGATCCCCACGTTGGCCACTTAATAGGGAGCATAAAAGTTTTTTTGCGCCACATCTTGTCATAAGTTCCATGCGAGACAGATCGGCTCGTTCCTTGTCCAACCAGCCTATGAGAGCGTCGTATTAACAACGCAAAGGTCTTGAGGCGGACCGTTGGCACATCACGAAATCATTTTGCTACGCCACAAGATATATGCCGATTGTCCGTCGCAAAAAACGTAGGATCCATCTTTACAGGAATTGGACACACCCGGAATTGAACCGGGCACCGCCCGCAGTAGTGCATATCGCAGGATTCGAGTTGATCCAGGAATGCTAAGCGGGCGTGATAACCAACTACACCATGTGCCCATGAAACCCTTCCAGCCGCACAACCTCAAGTGCCCACACCAACCAAAAACCCCTCTTGATAAATATGTAAAAGATTCGACAGTCTACAGACACACGGAGTCATAAGCCAAAAAAACAGAAAAGCAGAACCATACGATAAACAAAAACCTCGAAACTCGAAGCTCAAAAACTCGACACCCCAGACAGAACAAAACCTCAAAACCAAACCAAAAAAGCCATACACCGCATCACCTCGAACTCGAGCTCAAGCTCAACTCCTGTCCCTCAGGGCCCCACCTCCACCTCCTGACCTGAACAATCCACTCCGTGCGCACACCCTCATCCACCTCCTCGCTCTCCGTGTCCGTCACATACACGCCCTCCTGCGTGAACCGGAACAGGTCCTCCCCGAGGTTCCGCTGCAGCGTCTGCAGCATCAGCTGCTTCGGCTTGCCCCCATCCCCATCCCCGTCTCCCCCTCCCTCCGCGGCACCGTCGACCGGCATCGTGACGGGCGAGGCGCACGGCGAGACGTTGTTAGCCCCGAGAGCAGCAGTGCCGTTGCTCGGTTTGTCCCCAGATTCGACTATCATCGCCTTGTCTGGATGAGCGTCCGGGCTCGCAGGCGCGAACGCGAACGGCGTCTTCTCCTGCATCGGCGCAACCTTGGGCACTGTTGCAGCCGCAACTGCAGCCGCTGTGGCGCCCTCAACGACCTCCTCGACGTCGACGTCAAGGATGAGCGAGACATCGTACTCAACAAAGAGCGTCCCGATGCACGGCGAGAGGATATACCGCTCCTTTGCCGTCTCAAGTATGACAGAGCGGACGGGGGGCAGCGCCGCATCGATGTTAAGCGCCGGATCAACCGCGCGCGGGTCAATCTTCCGCTTCTTCCTCGGCGGCGGGTGGACGAACGACGATACGGGCGGGGGGAACAACACGTCCCGCAGGACCTCGGGATCGAATTTGAACCTGAACGATCAAAAAGAGAAACAAAATCTCAGCACGCCGCGCGTCGGGCGGGAGAAGGAGAAAAAGCGAGAGACGTACCCAGGCTGGACGTCCCCCGCGGGCCCAACGCCAAACGTCACTGTCTGCACGCTCATCTGCGCGTCTTCCTCCGGGTCGCGGTGGTACGTCGCGTCGTTGACATCGACGACTTCCGGGCGTTCGTCGATGGGCTCTAGCGTCGTCGCGTTGGGCACGCGATGGCGTTGATGTACCGGCCAATCCCACCCCCTGCGCCGCCTGCGACCAGCAACGCGCAACGAAGGCACCTGGCGCTCGCGTTCACGTTCGCGCTCAGCCGCCGGGAGCCCAACGACATGCGCGCGGCGCTCATGGTACTCTGCCAAGCGCTGTTTACGGCTCCTCAGCCCCTTCAGCGCCGTCGACTTGCCCTTCTACCCACGAACCAACGACGTCAGCCACGAAGCCACGAAAGAAGGAAAGCACGGCCGCGCGCCCAGACCCACCTCGACAAACTGGAACCCCACAATCTCAATCGCACTCCCATCGTGCCCGGCGCCCCACCCCGCACTCACCAGCCCCCGCCCGTCGTCCTCCGCCCCCGCGTCCTGCTGTCCCTCCCCCTCTCCCTCACCCTCACCCTCACCATCGCCACCACCCTCGCGTTCTCTCACACACCGCTCCCCAAACCCACCCAAAAACCGCCCAACAACCTCCTCCCTCACACTCCCACTCCCACTCCCACTCCCCCCACCGCCGAGTGCATCAATCCCATTCCCAAGCCCAATCCCAACCCCGTCCGCCCCAACACACCTAACAACACGCACCTCAACCCGCGCGTCCCTGCCCGCCCTGCGCGCCTCGCGCGCCCCGCTCCACGTCGCCCACCCCGCGTGCACAGCACACAGAAACACGTCCGAGTCGTCGGTGTACACGCGGCGGCGGCGGGGGCCGCACGGGCCGCGCGGGTCGAACGGGCGCCCGGGCACGGGCACGCCGCCGCCCCAGATGGGCAGAGGCCGCGCGGGGCGTGCGCGTGGGATGTGCGCGTTGGGGATGATGATCGTGAGGCGCGTTTCGGTGTCGACGGTGTAGCGCGGTTCTGCGGCGGCGGGGGCGGGGGCGGGGGCGGGGGCTGGTTGAGCGGGGAGCTTGGGTGTGGGAGATTGAGAGGCGGCGGCAGCGTCGGCTGTCGATGGCCGCGTGTCTCCCTGTGCGTCGGCGTTCTCCTTCTCGCCGGCGGCGGCGGCAGCGGCTTTCGCTTTCGCTGCGTCGTCCTCGTCAGGTCGTGGCCCAACATCAAAGAAATAAGGAAACGGGACAATAGGCCACACGAACGTCCCAAGATGGACACACACGCGCGCGGTGACTTGTTCCTCCCTCGCAAACTCATCGACGTGCATCGGCACAGGGACCAGCTGCGGCGGCACACCAGACCTCCTCGCGCGCTCGCGGTCGCGCTGGACATTCCAGTCCCACGCGGCAGGGACGGGCACGGGGATGCGCTCGTCGTAGTACGCTTCGCCCTCGGGCGGGGCGGGGTAGGGCATGCGCTCGTACGGGTATGCGGGGTTGATGTTGGGGTTGGGGTATTCTGGCCCTGGGCCTGGTACAGGCGGCGGCGGTGGTGGTGGTGGTGGTGGCGGTGGGGGGACACCGGGACCCTGGGCGTGCGACGGCCACCAGGGCGCACGCGACATGTCCATCTCGCGTTCGACGGGTTCGACGCGCTGTGCTTCTCTTTCGCGTTCGCGTTCTCGTTCACGTTCGCGCTCGCGGTCTTTCTCCTTGTCTTTCTCTTTCTCTTTTTCTTTTTCTTTCTCTTTTTCCTTTTCTCTCTCGCGTTCGCGTTCGCGTTCACGCTCGCGCTCGCGGTCCTTCTCCCTGTCTCTCTCCCGTTCTCGTTCCCGTTCTCGTTCTCGCTCCCTATCCCTTTCCCTTTCCCTGCCCTCCCTCGGGGCCGGTGAGCCAATTCTGCTGCCAGGCCCCGCAGAAGAAGACACAAACTGAGTGTGAAACTTGTTCTGATTAGGATACTGTTTCTGAACATGAGGCGGTGCGAGAGCGAGAATGGGGAGCTCCTGACGAGGCGTCTGCGGGGCTGGTGGCAGACCTGGGCCAACGATGGTGGGCGGGGACTGTGCATAGGGCTGCTGAGACTTGAGGTGGTGGGGGAACGGGCGGTCGTTCCTTTTTGGGTAGGGCGTGTAACCTCTCTCGTAGTCTCGTTCTCGCCAGTCGCGGTCGCGGGGCCTCTCGTCTGCGGAGTACATAGCGGGGTTTGAAGCGACGGGCGGGATGGGCGGCACACGCGTCGAGCTCGAGGCTGGCGGCCCCCAGACACCAGGTGCACCACCGCTGGCATCAAGCCGCAGGGACGCCATTGCCGGCGACGGCGGCGGCGGCAGCCGGTGGTGCGTGCTGGGCGACGACGCGGGCGGGGCGGGCGGCACGGCGGCAGCAGCGGCCGGCGGGTAGAGGGCCGGGCTGGGCGATGGGGGCGGGGGCCGGCGGTGTTGTGGCGGTGCGGGCGGGGGTGGTTGTGCGGACGGTGCGGGCGGGCCGGGGAAGGGTGCCCAGGACGACGAGGACGGGAGGCGGTGCCAGGGGGCGGGGCCTTGGTTCTCTGGGGGCTGGCGGCGCTCAGAGGGCGAGTCCTGCAAAAGGTCGGCGACGTTCATCGACGCAGGAAGCAAAAAGGAAACAATTGATGCCATCACACGAGTTATCAATAGAAATGGGCGGTTACCTCGCCAGAAAGAGCTTACACATATAAACCGACAGCTTCCATTCAGCAACCTCAGTCGATTCTCGAGTACTTACACAAACCGATTACTTACTGTACGAATAGTTCAAACTTACCTTTGATCTATCTAGGTCGTAGTGGACATCAGGTCTGATTTCTAACATAGTCCTTACGCTTGTTTAGCAATTCGCTAATATTTCAAGAGTGCGCGCATATTTTCGCTCTGCCTCGACTAGGCGCACATTTAGATTGTAAACCTACAGTCATTGCTCGCGTGGTTGCATTCTCGTGAGACGTCCAGTCTTGTTGTCAATTTGTTCCTTGACGAGACGTGTGTTGTTCAAGTGGTGGAAGCCCACCCAACAACAATACTATACAATTTTCAGAAGGCCTTGAAATGATTGGGACGTATGATTATAGTTATAATCTGTGGGGATAACATGTACTAACGAGGAAAAGATGACTCTGTGGAAAGAGCGAGAGCGTAATCACATATCAGCTCCTCGTAATACTTGAAGGCAGGATTGTTATAGATGAGAAAGTGCCACGACGAAGGCATTACAAACCCACGGATGGCCATAGTAGTATAATCCCAGTATTCTGGAAGCCATCCCGCACACTCCCAGTCAATGATACCGGAGAGATGTCCGTCTTTCACGATGATATTGTGCCGCATAAGGTCTCCATGTGCAAAGACAATGGAATACGACATATCTGCCAAGTGCTCAATTTTCTTCGTTGCTTGATCAAATTTCGCTCGACCCTCCTCTGTATGGAGAGCTGCGTGGCTCCTAGCGCGAACAAGATATCGAAAAAAGTCGGACTTGTCAGCGCATGGGGGTATCACGCCATTGCAAGCGCGGAAGGTCTTGAGGTATGTGCCAGTGATAGAACATATCTCTGGGCTACGAGGATTTTTGCACTCCCGCAGGCGAAGGAGACATTGATGTAATTCGTCCAGACTCCACAATCGTAGATCGTTTACTATCCGAAAGGTCGTCCCACACCTGTGACAAGAGTTCACCTGGTACACGCGTCATCCAAATCGCACCCTCCTCTGAGTCTGGACTGTCGGCATACAACAGAACCTTTGGGACAGGAAGCCCGAGAGAGTGAGCAAGTTTCATTGAAAGTGCCTCTTCCTCACGAGTGCGCTCTCCAATCTTCAGGATAGTATTGAACGGCATCGGGTAGATGTTCAGTGTTTCCTGGAAAGGAAGCTCTTTCTTGAAGAACATGCAGTATCTTGAGTACCAGTTGTTGACCCTCGAGAGGATTTTGACCACAATGAACCACGATACTC